ATGGAGAAATTGCAAAAGAGGGCAGAAAACCCGACACGGGTGTGGTGTCGACACATTAATTTGGTGTCGACACCATACGGTGAGCGCCCCCCAAAATTCCGACACGGATGTGGTGTCGACACACAATTTTGGTGTCGACACCATACGGATGTAAACTTATGCTTTTCCAGTTGGGATGTTAATGGGTTTGGGGTACCCCTTGTACTCCGTTTTTTAATTAATATTACTTTTGGCTGTTCAAAAAAAAAAAAATAACAGGAAAAAAATATTTATGTATCTTAAAAATGAAAAAATTTACACTTAATTTGGAATAGATTTTCAATCAAATAAGACTATTATTGTATGACAGAGGAAGCACATGAAGAAGTTGTATTATAATGCAACTCATCAATTTATTTCAAAACTATGATTGAAAAATCTGATCTCCCATTCAGAAAAAGCTCAAATCATTTCATATTTTCTTCCATTGTTGTTTTCATAGCTCAACCTGGGTTAATGCATGTTTAGGTTCTAGTTTTCAACAAACGACTCTCCTCCGCTCCTTCCCCCTCTGACACGGCGGTCTTCCATCCAACAAATTATTAAGAGTTAACTAACATTTCTCTTGCAAATATGTAGAATCTTAATTTTGTATTAGCTGTAGTAGTTTACGGGCAATGAGGCAACCTTCATCTTTTCAGAATTTGACAGTTTAATCCTTTAATTCTTGACTTTTTTCCATTTTAATCCTTATCTATAGAAATAATGAAATCTATGTAAAATCAAATAAAATCACTCCTAAACAATGCAAAGAGACTTAATTTTGAGACTAAAAGAGAAAATAAAACTATTTAAAAATTAGACTTATCAAATTTTTTGTCATTGCTTTTCATTTTTTCATGGTCGATCAAATGTAAACTCTTTTAAACGGCCAAAAAAGAGTTGTAAACTTTTTTATCTTCCACACATGATTTAAAACATATGGAAGGTTTTCAGAATATGTACGTTTACCTATTGTTCAGTGGTAATTTTAGATTTTTTTTTTTCTCTCATTATGGCTGTTGTAAACTTTTCTGTCTTCCACATAGGATTTAGATTCTTTTTTAATTTGATATTTTCTATATATAACCTATTTATTTTGTTTTTTTGTGCTTTGTATGAGAAAATTTATTAACTTAAATTGCTAGACCATTTTAATAAATATAGCTAAACGTGTTTTGTTTATTTTGCAAAATATTTTTTTTCTATGTTACCATAAAGAAATCTAATGATATTTTGTGTATATGAATATCTTCCTTCTTTTTTTTTTTTTCCTTAATTAGTGAATATGCTTTACAATTACAAATCCAAAGACACAAAGGCCCAAATAGCCTAAGCACTTGAAATCTCATGACTATCACTTAATATATATATATATATATATGCATGCATTCAAAATTTACTCACAAATAATAAAATAATTGACAGTCAGTGACACCCCATTTGCTAAGATATATATATATATATATACAAACACACATACACACAAATATGATCATATGATTAGTATAGTCAACTCAAGCGATCTACATTTCAAGAGGGAAGAGATTATTTTATGTCAATCTAGCTAGTCCATTATGTGATGAGAAGTTAATTTACTTGAAGCCATAGACCTTTACATTAAAAAAGACAATGTTAAGAAGGGATATGATATACAACTAAAAAAAGAAAAAGAAAAGAAAAAAAAAAGATCGTATACAACTAGAGATTTGCATCTAAGCCTCAAAGTTGATACTTTTATAGGATTTTCATTGAAATTTACATTTTAAGAAGGGATATGATAGAATTAATCTAATACACAATACCCAAACTGAATGACCCTTTCCCATGCTATTTGCTCTACTCTCTCCAAAGCTAAAAGTTACCGTGCATTTTATTCATGCAAATTTAATTTACTCATCTTACAATACTTTGCTATTGCACTAAACTTGACTTGAAATAAGCAATAGACTCACAAAAAAGGGGAAAAGAAACAGAAAATGAAATACAAGGAATTCTAGCAGCAATATTCATCTTCTTCTAATCCTCCTACTCAATGTTCCTATCCCTCTTCTCCTACCTTGCCTAACTCGAAAAGTCTTCAAAAACCATTCTTGTCTTTTTGAAAATACAATGATCCCAATGACCACACCAACAAGGAATCCACATCCATAACCCAACAAAACTACTTTCCAACCAAATTCAACAAGCAATCTTGAGTCTTGTTCAAAGGTTGAAGATGGAGGCAAAGCCTTGGACTCTGAGTAATCACATTTCTTTGATAGTGGCATTCCACAGAGTCCTACATTCCCATCAAATGAGCTACTTTCAAATGTATTAAATTGCTGGCCTTTTGGGATAGCTCCTGTCAGATAGTTATAAGACACATTGAAGACTCCAAGGAAATTGAGTTGTGTTAGCTGTGAAGGAATTCTTCCAGTGAGCTTGTTATGAGAAAGGTCCAACGCTTCGAGGTTTTTTAGAAATCCCAAGACTGGTGGGATGGGACCAATAAGTATGTTGTTGGAAAGGTTGAGAAGCTGGAGTCTTGTCAAATTTCCCACAACTTTTGGAATCTCTCCTGTGAATTTGTTGCAAGAGAGATCTATGGCTGAGAAAATCTCAAAGATCTTTGCATATTCCCTAATCACCCCTTTGTTTGTTATTGTCATTGAGTAAAGAACATGATAAGGTGCAGCAACAATATTCACCACTATATTGTAATCTGCATGCAAATATGTCAAGTTCTTCCCATCAAGATTTGCCATAACATTCCATCTCTTAAAGTAGTCCATTGGCAGAGATCCCACAAATTCATTATGAGAAATGTCAATGATTTGAAGATTAGGAAACAAGAGATCTGACTCTGCACCACTGATTGCACCATAGAACCCATTAAAATGTAAGATGATAATCTTCAATTGAGGAAGAGCTCCCAACCAAGAAGGGAAAGTGTCTTTGATTTGATTGTTACTGAGATCAAGAAGCTCTAGTATCTTGCAGTTGACCAATGACTTGGGCAACTTGCCTTGCAAATTATTATGTCCCAGTTTAATTACCTTGAGTTCACTTCCAATTGCCCAAGTATCAGGAATGGTACCAAGGAAGTTGTTTTCTTCCAAATTCAAAATTGATAAGGACTTGCTTAGGTTGCCAAAACATTTTGGTATAACCCCAGTCAAGTTATTGTGGGACAAATCAAGAATTTGTGGAGAAATCATGCTGCAAAATTGAGGTGGGATTTCTCCATTGAATTTATTTTTTGAAACATTGTACATGAGCATGGAGTGTGGTGGAATTGGTAGAGACCCTATGAGAAAGTTACAACTAAGGTCTAGAATGAGTAGACTGGATGGAATGACATTAAGGGATTCTTCAAAACTTGTCAAAAAGTTGTTATGGAGATCCAAAAACCACAAGTTTGCACAAATTTTCAATAACCATTTGGGAATTTGACCATGAATTTTGTTGGATGAAAGGTTTAGGATCCAAAGCTGATCTTGGTTACGCAAGAAATTTGGAAACCCTCCTAAATTACACGAACCTAGTCCTAATTCTACAAACTTTTGAATTGTGCTGTTAGTAACAATTTTGGTTTGTAATGAAAAGGTATTGGAGGAGAAAGACAAAGCTTTAAGGTGTTTGAGCCTAATAAATGTGTCAAACTCCACTGTACCACTCAAGTTATTGAAGCCAACATCGAATACTACAAGATTCTTGAGTCTAGAAATTGAGCTTGGAAGTTGCCCTTCTAACATATTCCACCTAAGGGTCAACCATGTCAATTGGGTTAGGTTCGCAAGCCAAGATGGAAATTGACCAGTAACAAGATTATAAGAAAGGTCTAATACATGGAGATGAATCAAGCTAGCAAAAGAAGGGATCTCACTAAAAGTAAATTGATTTAAGCCAAGAGCAACATGTCTTAGTTGCGTGAGATTTGATAAGAATGGAACCTCCGATCCCTTGAAAGAATTATTCCAAAGGCTAAAGAAGTATAGGTCGGTGAGATTAGAAAGTGAAGATGGCAATAATCCTGAAAAGTGGCAATTTTGAACTTCCAAATGTTTCAAAGAGCTAAGGAGCCCAAATGATGATGGAAACTCACCAGAAAAACTTGTGTTAGTAACTGATAGTACCTTAAGCGGATTGCTAAATTGAAATTCAGGAAAACTACCAGTAAGACCCCAGTTGCCACCCACAAAAAGGTACTCAAGTTTTGATAGTTGAAAAATGGATGTGGGAAACTTTCCAAACAATCCACATTGAATAAGACGGAGACATATCAATGATGACAAATTCGCAAGTGCATTAGGTATTGGAGAATTTATATGAACCAAAGAAAGGTCAAGCCATTCTAGCTTGGTTAAGTTATGAATCAAGCTATTTAAATCGGATCTTTTGAGCTCCAACAATCCTTGATATGAATAATCAAGATTGAAAGACAAGTCAAGCTTAACTAACTTGGAGAGTTTTGAAATTTCAGATGGTACATGACCATGGAAGAAAGAATTAGAAAGGTTGAGATAAGTTAACCTAGAAAGATTGCCCAATGCTGGTGGTATCTCAGAGTAATTGAAATCATTGAAAGCAAGGTTGATGTATTGAAGATGACCAAGGCGGAAAAGGCTGCTACTAGAATTGATATGACCAAAAAGACAACTACTGCTTAAATTAAGGGCTATGACATGACCAGTATATTGGTTACATTGGATGCCCTCCCAGGAACAACAATCAATACCTTGAAATTTCCAAAGATCAACTTTGGGGTAAGCAAATGGATTTGCACAGGCATGTCTTTCAATGACAAAGCTGTCTTTGAACTGCACTAAGGCAAGATGCTCATCCTTGTGGCATAATTGTTGGTGCAAAGTTGGTTGAAAGAAGGAGATCATCAAGAAAAGCAAGCTTATAAGATAGAAGTGAGTTAAGGATGAAGCCATGATTTATTTAGATGTGATGCAAGGAAATCATTTGAGTGAAGGGTCTTTTATAGACAAGACTGAGTACATTAGTGAAAAGAAGAGATCAAAAGTTGTGGGCCTCCATTAGCCATATGTTGGTATATTGGATGATGGACTATACAGTAGAGGATAACCCTCCTTTTCCAAACCTCTCTCAAGATTTGAACTTGAAATCTCTAATGTGAATACTCAAATTCCTAACCACTCTAGAACATTCCCTAAGAGATAGTACACTTCACATGTAAACATACATGAAGTCTAACATTCAAACTCAAAATGAGAAAAACATGAGGGGCAGCACATTCACACACTCACGCCTTCCGTTGCATAGACAAATAAAATACCTGGAACGAGCTTGCATTAAATATTTACATGGAGTACGTTGAGTGGTCTTTTTTTTTTTTTTTTTGCCATGAAGGTGGAGTGAGTCTTTTTTCCTTTTTATTTTTTTGTCCCCATGTACGTGGAGTGGTCTTTTTTTGTTGGCCATGTACATGGAGTGGTCTGATACCAACTTCACACCTAATATTTTGGCTATATTGTCAATTTCACAACACACCCAACTTCACACCTAATATTTTGACCATATTGACAATTTCACAACTTGCACTTTTACCATGAAAAAGGAAAACCCATATATAACTTTACCCCGAAGGCAAGACGTTGAATGAAATGAAAAATCTTTCAAATATCTTCTAGACTTCAACAATATCATGAGAGTACATTACCAAGTCAAACCGGCGAAGATCAAATAAAAAACACGAAAATCTTTTGACACATTCTATCACATATACCAACTGAACGTAGTAGACCTGCAATTAAAGACACTATTATTTTAAATTGAACCTATTTAATGCCAAAGGTAATTAACATTTTCTAGCAAAAAATTTTTTTATGAATAAACCAATAAAATCAAAGTTAGTTAAATATTAATGGTGGTTAGTTTTTTTCATTTGTTTCTAATTTAAAAGTAATATGAGATTAGAATATTATATTTGACCCTAAACCTTATAACAATTTTCACTTTTGTAAAAATATGATAGCATATGATCTTAAGTATATATAAAATTACTGAAATAACAAATTTTTTTTAAAATTTTCAAATAAATATCTATTAGACTTTAAAAAAATCATCAATAGATATTCAATGGTTTTTTTTTTAGATAAATAGTGTAATTCAAATCTAGCATATTTTAAATATTACAATTCAATTGTAATATGATTTGATTTCTTATTAATTTATTCAAATTTTCTTATTATAGGATTTGACTTAACCTTACCTTTAATATCTTTCCAATTATAAAACATTGGTTACAATCTATT